CTCGGGGGGTCGCCGCGCCGGCGTAGGCCCCGCCACGCGCTGGCGCGCTGAGGCAACGCCCGGGCAGCTCAGTCTTTCAGCAAAATAAACAAAATAAGTGTCATTACATTGCAGAAATGAATAATTAAACACGCTTTTATTGAAAAAGCCACTTTTTCCAGCCCTTCAAATGTAGCTATTGTCAATAACTGAACACAAGTACTTTTCAGAAGTAGATTTTAGTACTTCAGTCTTTAGAAATGTAATAAGTAACAGAACATTGACTCTGAATTACAATGTATATGAATTTAATGCAGTGGAAGTTATTATTAGAGTACTGAAGACTTCTAAATATTTTCTTAAATCATAAATATATTAACTCTTCCCTTTGAATCATGTAGTGTTAATTTAAAAACAACGACAAAAAAACCCAAACAAACAACAAAAAAACCCAACTCGGAGCCAGACTTTTGTGCTTCAAAGCTACTCAACGCAGTCTGGTACTAACAAATGCGGAGACTCGTTTGCTGTGCATGTTGGAGTCGACTGCTAACGGGCACGCGTGGTTTTGCTTCCGCTGCTGCCAGACGCAAGGCTTCTGTGTCTACGCAGGCACGTACACACACACACAAAATACAAGGCAAAGCCTACGATCTTGTGTTGCCTAGCTCAGACGTTAATAGGTGGCAAATGGAAGCTGTAATAGCAGGTGAAATCATAAATAATTCAGCTAAATATTTCAGGAATCAGACTTAAATGCCTTCACATAGAAGGATTAAGATAACTCAGTGCACACTGCAGCTAGTATAGGGGAAGACTTGTACAGAAGATGTCTCTCTGACACCTGTTTTATGACATACTATTGCTTTAAAACAATGTGCTGTGTCAGCTGCAAAATACAGCTTCATAGGGAATTTCTTTCATTTAAGAAAGCAAAATAATTCTAAGTTGTGGGCTGAACATGCAGGAGTCTCTTGCAAAGATAGGAAAATATCACCGGGAGGCAATTAAAATACTGACGGGGTGATTACAGGCAAGAGGACCAGCAGGCTTCCCTTTGGTTCAGTGTCCATCGAATGCCCTGGATTTGCACGCGGGGAGGCACAGCCGCTGAGTAGTTCATTTCTAAAGGCAGTGAGCACTCAATGTTTGCCCCACTTAATTTTGTCTTTTAAGTCTTGCCTGCTCTCTAGTCAATGTGCGTTACCAGCAGTAAATAGCTGGTGGATATGGGATCAGAGCAGCTGCGAATATCCAAGTGTTGGATGCTGAAGACTATTCCTAGTATTGCAGTGTTTTTGTACACATGCTCCTGTTGCCATGAGGAGTCACTTAAAAATGTAGCGGACTGAGGTGTTTTAAGCCTACGTAGCTCTAACAAAGATGAAGCTACATCAGACTTTCATAGAACTAGCATCCAGTATTGGCTTGCTCAGCTTGTCTGTATGCTTCTCTAAAGAGTTAGGATATGAGACAATCATGGTCTTTAATACTAGAGATGTAATGCTTGGTAAACTTTGTGCTAGAGTGCAGAAGTTACGAAATGCTTAAAATTAAGTTTACAAAACTGCACGCAAACATGCACGGTTGAATTCCTACCCTTGGCTAGGCAAGGCTTGGATTGTACAGGCATAGCTATAAACAGAATTTAACTCATAGCTCCCAACAGAAAGACTCAAGTGATAGCACAGTGACAGAGGACTGACTTACATCTCAGATACAAACCACGATGTAACCATTTCACATGACTTTAATTTCTCCATTCCAGAAATGGTTTTCTACAGTTTGAAGTAGCTTTTCAGAGGATGCTTTCTTGTACAAACCACACGGAAATTTCATGCAGAAGAATAGAGACGAGGTTAGTGAGCATAAGGGAAGGTGGCATTTGTGCTGTGCTATTGTACGTATCCTCGTAACCTCAGTCCCAATGGGTGGGAGGCAAAGACCACTCTTAACAAAGTTGCATCCATCTGTGACTGCCATGCTCAGCTACTTGGCACAGCTTCCACTCTGATCGCGTCCCTGTGGCTTCTGGTTTTTGTGACCTGATGTTTCAGTCCTTCCGAGGGCATCACTGGACGGAGGCTTGGCATGGCGTAGGAGCAGCTAGGCTAGCGCAGTTCTGTGAGGTCTCAGTAGCGTTAGCATCTCCAGCTGACGAGCTCTGCCGGTCCCTGGAGGAGCTAGGGGCCTTCACGTGGCCTTTGTATAAACCAGGGGATTTTGCCCACAGGGGAAGATTTGAGGTGAAGCTGGCAGAACCGTTCCCCTCAACGGGCAGAACCGCCGGCTGGTTATCTGGCACAGCTGGAGCGTACGCAGCATTTTGCTCTGACAGATGATCTCCACATTGACTAAGATGTTCTGCTAGGACCAGGGGCTGCTGATCATCCCCTTCTTCAGAAATAACAAAAACCGGTTTGTTTTTATCTGTTTCTACCATAAGCTCCTTTGTTTTCGAACCATTGACCAAGTTGATTTTCAGTGGGTTGGAGCTCTCTAGAAGATTTTTGGGGCTTTGGCTGTTAATTGGAGATGCTGCCCCTAGATGTCTTGAGGGATCCAAGGACCTCACATGTTTGCTGTCAGGAGAACTGGCTAAAAATCCAAAATAAGGGTTCCCAAACCTGGACTTCTTCAAATTGCAGGAGCTTAGCTTCCGCTGCCTTTGTGCAGACAGAGTGAGGGGGTATGAGGCATTACTGGCAGATGAATCGGAGTAAATGGTCTCTGATGCTCCCTCTATCTCAGTGGCTGAGATTACCTTTCTGGTTGGGACACCTTGGGATCTTGCAGCCGTAGGAAAACCCTGCACAAAATAATAATAAATTAGCAGCCATGCCGTGAAAAGCAGCTATCTTGAGAAACTTTGATCCCAAGGGAACTAAAAGTTAAAATTCCTGGTTATATTAGAGGTGAGACGCATTCTTTAGCAAAAACCTGTGTTATTACCTTAAAAAAGAAGAAACATCCTCTATTAGCTTTGTAACAAGCTGTTGGTTTGATGATTACAGTCAGTGAGACCTAGATATCCCTCCCACACCTACGGATTCCTCGCAATGCAATAGTAATACGTCAATTAAAATAAATTTAAGGCATAACCAGGGGAAAAAAGGTACGTGTCAGACCATTCAATGAGATAATCTAGTCTGAAGGCATTTTTTAATGTTTTTCTGGACTAGGGATCATTTCTTAACCAGGTGCTAACTGCTGGGAAATACAGCTTCTTAGCACTTCAGGAAAGCCTGAATAAATTACAATATGGTTAGGCAAAAGAGTTTCCCATACACCAAGCAAGATGGACTGAAATATGTATCGCATTGCAGGTTGGAGAGGCAAAGCAGTAGGCCAAGGGGAAAACGTGTCCCATCAGCGAGCGGCTGGGGGTACTGGGGCACAGATCCCCCCCCACGTCCTCCCCTCCCTGCAAGACTCACGCTGTTGTCAACCAGCTTTGTGAAGGGACTGTTGGTGGTCCAGCTACACCACTTTTTCTGTAGCTGTGGTATGGGAGCCAGGAAGTCATGGAAAGTGCGGGCGCTCCACGTGCGCTGCCTGGGACAGGGATTTTCCAGCTGGACGTTCCCCTTCTCAACAGCGTCTGCTCCTGCTGCCGTGTGATTAGAAGTCACCCAGTCAGACACAGAGGCTGGGCTTGTGACGCTTCTTTTTAGGTTTTTGTCCTGAAAAGAGTAAATAAAGATCATTTACAGCATCTTTCATCAACAGGTTTTTAAAACACTTTACAAGTACACTGTTAGTGCAAGAGACTGATTTCTCCCGTGGTTCTCCTCTCAGGGCAAGACACAGGAATGCAACGTCTCCTCCTTGCTCCTCCGGCGTGCTGCCCGAAGGTCGCTGGCTTCCCTGGATGAAAGTTTTACCTTGCTTCCCCAGTTCCAGGTTTAACACTGAACTGGCAAATTTCAGTTACATAAGAAATAAAGTCCTACCACTCTCACTAAGCATATACATCAAATACCTACAGCTTTATTTTACTGGAAATATCTGACAGATCAGAGTAGTAAACTTCACTGTGTAAAGCATAATTCCTCCACTCTGCTTGGCTCTTGGAAGGCTCCAGCTGTGTCTGTCTGGGGAAACAAAACTTCAAGGGGGATGGGGCCTGCTGAAAGAAATCCAGAAACGAGCAACGAGAGAATCAGAAGTCTCAAAAATGCATGATTCAGGAGGGAAGACTGGAGTAAGTGGTGCTCTGTATGCTATGTTAGGGAAGAATTAAGAAAATAAAAATAATTAAAAACAAAGAGGAAGGGAATAATCTGTTCTTGGTGTCTGTCTGTGGTGAATAGAACAAGAGGCACCATACCCAGATTGGAGCCAAGGAGATTTTCATTTCACGTAAGAAATGCTCTCCAGGTGGAAAATGTGCTTTAGCAGTAGAACGAGACATCCAGATAGGTGTAAAATTGGCATCATCGGAAGATGAGACCACATTAAACCATTGTCAGCAGCTCTGTATGTCAGCAGAGTTGATCTGACATGGGAATGAACTATAGACAACTTCTAAAGATCTCTTCCGTACTTACTTTATATGTTCTGATGTTGCATTTAAAATTACCATTTTTGTCCTTAGTATTGATGTGGGTTTAGAGCTAGAAAAGTTAAAGAATCCCTGACTGTCCTACGAATCTCCTTTCACTCTTACTAATACTTCACCTGTTATTTATATAAGCCTCCTGTTCCACAACTATATGTATTTTTAATTTTCAGCTGTGCGAATATGGTTGTCACGAGAAGAATGCAAAAACCACATTCCCAAAGTTTACATAGCCCTTAAAGAGGGTCTGAACTAAATCCCCCAGTGTTCTGGATTTAAAAGGCCTGAGAAACCAGAAACTTGTCATTTGTTATTTCTGAGAAACTGAATCTCTCAAGTTTCTGCAAATCAAAGAAACTACTTAGTTAAAATGCCGTCTTGGAAATGAATGGGCAGAGAGGCAAGAAATTAGCTACTACAGCAGAAAAAAAATGTCAGTAGGAAGCTGGGAGAGGCTTCAGGCTCTGGATAAGTTTGTCTCAATATTAAGCTTTTAGTCTCAGATTTGATTAAAGTAACAATCTTTATTTATAAGTTTATAAGCCAGCTGTCTTCTCCTCAGAAGCCTCTTCAGGCTGTCTTAGGATTTATTATTCTAATATTATTATAAGTACCGCCAAACCGGTGTAAAAGCTAGCCACTGGTTTTGAGATAGATATACTGGAAGTAACTTTGAAGATGTGTAACGTATTTTCTAGATTTTTGAAAATGTTTTAGCAAAAAATGTTTCTTAAGCCTCCATGATAATACTCTTTGCTCAAACCTTTGCACCTGACACTTGTAACGTCTGAACAGAAGTCCGAGGTCATAGTTATAAGTTAGCCAAAGGCTGAATGATGACTTAAACGGGACTTAGAAAGCCGTGACCCTCCTGGAGGACCCCTCAGAAGCCACCTGAAAGCCATCCTGCCCTCCGTTCCCTCACGCTAGCCCACGTACAGAGACGTGTGTTTGCTCTCCCAGCTCCTGCCTCCTGACGGCATGGATTTCTTCATGGAGTTTAAAAGCTAAAAAGCAAAAGCCAGCTTATCGCTGGCTCCTGCCCAGCAGAGCCGAGCCTCACGCTTACTGGGGGGCACAAGACCAAGTGGCCAGCCACTATTTCTCAGTAAAATAATTTGTTTATGATAATTTTTTTAATAAAAGCTCCTAATAGCTTGCTTTGTCTAGTCGAGCATTTTGGGTGAGGTGAGTCTGATGGGGTTATTTACTGTACCGTAAAGGCTCAGGATTTCACGCATCTTTTCACATGAGGATAACTTCTTAGCTCCTGCCAAGAAAGTGGCTACGCTCCAGTGCCCAACTCATCCCGTGCGCTTAGCGCTGGTCCACAAAAGCTACGCACCGTGCCCTCCGCGGGGCTCGGAGGCTAAAGTCAGGAGCTGGCGGGCCAGCTGCATTTTACACCCTAAAAACACCCATTTAGAAATCAAACTGTACACACGGTTATTTCTAACATCCAGTAACCCTGAGGAACCCAGGTGGCCTGAAGAGGTTTGCGATTAGCGGGCTGTGCTCCGGTCCGCCCCCCTTGGAGAGGATAGGCTTCAGCTGTGGGGAAAGGGCCAGTGCTTTTAAAATGGCCCCGTCCCCCCTCCTGGGGGGGTTCTGCTCCTTTGGGGTGTGGATGGGAGCATTTGCTCCCTCGTGTGCAGCGTGGACATTGCTGGGAAGAAGATGCCTCCTGAGTTAATACTGTGGTAAATCACTTTAATTCTTTGGATTACCTTCACTTAGAGCTGTTTTAACATTAAGTACTTTATTTATATATATATAAAAAAATCTCCTCTGATAGATTGCTGGCAGAATAGAAATGTTTTTCTGTAAGTGCATTTGTTCATTCTGACTGGAGTGGGGAAAAGAGGAAAGAACCCGTGTTTCCCTCCTGTCTAGGAGCTGTATTTGTACGTGGCTGCCACCAGGTGAAGCTCTCTGCTCTGGAAAGCAGGACCAAGGGGTGCAGGTGTTGAAGGGTGCCCAGTCTGGGCACTGATACAGCTCAGGGTGCCCTGCTCCGCAGAAGGCGAGGTGTTTGGGCAGGGGAAGGCACCAGAGCTGTCCTCCCTTCTTTCCCTCTTTCTGCTAATCAGCATGGCCGACTGGAGGAAAAGCTTAGCACGCGTCTCACACCAGTGCAGGAAAATCCTGACCAGCCTGGCCTCCTGGCTAACCTCCTCACCAAGCGCAGGGATGCAGAATGCTTTTGTTTTGTAAGCTGTGACAGAAGTATTACACAGACTGTCCTGGGGCACGCGAGGTCCTTGGCTGGTTGTTTCTCTGCTTGTGGGAAAAAGAGAGAGGGCACTGGAGAGGAGAGAATTGACCTGGGAAAGGCTTTCATATAGGCTTGGAATGGCTGTGCTCTGTCGGGCACTGCGCTCGAGGCTGAGGAGGTGGCAGCCAGACCTGAGGCTCTGAGCGGTCGTCTCTTTCTAAGCAAATAACGGACCAGGAGTGCAGGGGAAAGAGCTAAAGTAAGAGAGAACTTACTGAGCCTGTTCAGGTTTTTGTGCGTGTATTTGAAAGGACCCCGGTACTTTCACTTGAAGCGCTTGATTTTTTGGAGCATACAGCTAACTTTCACATCAGGCTGGCGAGACAGTTCAATAGCTTTCTGAGGAGCTGAGTAACTTCCCCGGCCACTTTGTGGCAGCGGGCAGGAGCAGGTCTGACTCCTGGGCCCTTCGGCTGCCACAAGTGATGTTTTTAATGGAACATCATGTTTGCCAATTAATGTATTTCTGAGGGCTGGTCCTACCGCCTGCTGGCAGACCTCTGTGTTGTCACCCATCAGATCCAAGGCAGACTTCTGCACTTGATCTTCTCAAAGCTGGGAAGCTACTGGCTTGGGGGATCACAGCCCATGGCATTTGATGGTAGCTGAGCTTGAGGGTTAGCAGAATTGCCTGGCTCAGTCACCACCTTTCTTGCAAAGTGGGCAGTAAGCATAAATGGACAGATATAACAAGTGCTGTCCAGGAGGGACATCCTGTGGCTCGCTAGAGATGCCGAAGAGCATCCATACCTGTATTCTGTAGGTGGTAAAGCTCAGCCCACTGGCCCCAGGTCCAGCAGAAATAATGAACACTTCATCACTCCCGGTCTCGGTGGTCACTGCGGATGTGGAGGAGGGCACATCTGGGTCGGTGTCCTGAGGAGACCGTTCTGTGCTGCCTCCGCAGGAAGTGACTGAGGAAAGAAGATCAACAAAGACTGCTTGCCAGAGTCCAAAACATCTGCTCCTGACTCCTCTGTGACAAACCCTCCTCCCTCTCTCCCCAGATGATCTACAGCAGGCTTTGGCTGTCTGTCGCACCAGCCAGAACAAAATTCAGGCCAACACTTTGCTCTCCTGAAACTGCAAGCTTTTAAAAACAAAGCAAAAGGGGAGGGACACCCTTGGGTCTGCTTTCTAATAAAGACAGACCCGAACTGGGACACCTCATACTGAATACACAAGGTTGCGCTGCAGATTGGAAACTTGCAAATTTGCTCAGCTCATGCTTTACTTGTATTTACTCATCCCTGTTAACGTGGGGAGCTGTGCTTTCTGCTTAAACCCTGGCACTGCTGCTCCTGCAGGCAGCCTTACGCTCCAGGGACTGCCACATGTGCATGCATGTGTCCCCAGGGCCTGTCCATCTGGTCCAGGCCAGGAGAGCTCCGGCCACAACCTCCTCGATGACTTTTCCAAAGAAGGACATGGGAAATTGTCATGGTGGGGAGCACAGAATTAGCTTTTTAGGAAGATGTCCTTGTGAGAGCTGTGTGTAATGGCTGATGGTTTAGCGGGAAACTAATGGTGTACAGCAGCACAACGTGAAGCAGCTCCCTGTTGGCCTTCACCAACCAAAAGGGGCACTGATACAATTCCTGTGCTGTGACTCAGGACTGCAGCAAGTGACGTTATTTGCAGCTCGGCTGGGGGGGTCTCTTGTTCTCAAAACACCCTGTGAAGTAAGTGTTACCCAAAGCAGTCTTATCCATAAAGCTCTTCAGAAAAAGTTAGCTCCAGGAGTCAAAGTTGTCCCAAGCCAATGTAAGCATTGTAAAACCCGTCCTTTCCAGACAAGGCTAGGCACAGGGCAGGTGAAACTCTTCCACAATTTATGGATCTTTATAAGTTGTTTGTAGCAGCCTGAACCTGACACATTTGCTCTGCTAACCCAGTGTCTCTGCAGTGCCGTGTGCCATGACAGCTTTTGTTGGCAGCGTCCTGGAGCTGGGCTTGTGCGTGCCCCTTGCCAGGGGAGTTACCCTCCCAGCGAGCCGGGAGAGCTGCAAGGAATAGTTCCCACAACAAAGGCTTTCTGCTGTGAAGTGGCTCTCCAGCTGTGCATGGGCGAGACAGTGAGGAGGACTGCAGGGAAGAAATGATCTGATTAACTGGCCGGGGGCTACGGGGTGCCCTGGCCGGGTCCCGCCGCTGCCCCGCGCTTACCCGCCTGCTCCCGGCTGACAGAGTGGTTGTTGTTTTCATTCTCCCGACTTGGCACCACCAGCTGGAGCTCATTGATATCGACGGCGGAGTTCTGGATCCCGTTCTACAACTCAGAACATGCCCCAGTAAACATCGTCAGATAAACAGTGCAACAGCCAATATGAAAGAGAGAAACAGAAATTGCTGAAGCCATTAGCACTAACCTCCTGGTCGCTGCAGGCGTTGGATGAGCTCCTTTTGGGGCACGTTCTCTGCCTGAAAAGGAGAGACAACAACAACAACAAGCCCACAAGTGAGTTAAAGATCCACAAAAGGGAAGGTCTCGGCTGTGCTCATCCTGCGAGGGGGACCCAGCAGGTTAGGAGCTCTCCTGCCTACAGGAGCATCCAAAATACTTGCCAAGACTCAGGGCAACAAGGCCTGTAGGCCAGGGAGAAAATGATAGGCTCCTGTAGTGGAAAGTCAGCGGAAGAAGAGAAGGACCTGTCGTCGTCTTCCCATGATCGCTGCAAAAGCAGGAACAGAGTTCAGACCTCTGCCAAGTCCCACCAGGCTCCCCCCCCGCCGGCCGCCCTTTCGCGTTGGTACCTAAAGAGCGGGACTGAGATCCTGCCTTTGGTCTGGGCAGGGACATCGTTCTCATCCTGCCAGACCGAATATTTCACCTCTGCAGCCAATAGTGCCTGCTGGGTTGTATTTAGCAAGCAGAGAGCATCAGATGCTGTTCATTTGTATGAACATTTTATTAAAAGACAGCGCTACAGCAGATGATTGCTGGGTAAACATGCCTCTTGGCTGAAGGGAGACAAAAGCACGTTCGTAACCATTTTTTTCCACATTTTTACTAAAACTGAGATTATGAAACAACTAGCGTTATTTACTTTTGGATGAATAAGAAGTGAAGATGTCACAGAGAGGCTGGCAGTAATGAACACGATACCGACCGAAGCATGTGTATTTTGTCCTTGTGGACAGCAGTTCTCCATGGGACAGTGCAGAGAGACACGGGAGCATGAAGGCACGGACCAGATAGGATGGGACCCGTGTTACTGTTTTCCCTACTATCTGGGCTGTGGGCTGGCATTTTTCCTCTTCTTGCTGGAGGGGTTGGTTTGTTTTAAGGGACTTAATCTCCTCCATACAAGTTTTTTTTCAGTGATGTGTTGAAGCCAAGATTTCGAGTTTTCAGTCACCATTTCATTACTGTTTGTTTTTAAGAATGGGGACTCAGAGGCCACCTGATGAGGCTGGCCAGGAGCCGGCGTCTGCTCCATCTCGGGCATGGTGGGTTTCATTCCTTCACCGTATCATTGGATCTCTTAAAAAATGCTTATTGACTGACAAGTGAATTGAGGGAGGAAAAAACCCATGACGTGCCCCCAGCGCTGTTCCTAGTGAATACAGAGAAGACTACAGAAAAAAGAGGAGAACGAGTTGGCGCTTGGGAATTTAATCCAGAAGAGGGCCAGATGGATGGCCGTTATTCCAGGAGGCACAACGGCACGGGCCACCGCGTGGGCTTCTCAGGGGAACTCGGGGCTCAAGCAGGGAAGGCTCTTCCTTAATGCCCTGATTCGGGAAGGGGGAGCAGGGGAAGGCTTCCAAGTAGGAGTGGTGTTGCCTTATCAAGCAAGATCAAACCAAGTAGGAAATGCTTCAGAGTGGAAAATGTGTGTGAAAATATTCCACACACACATGCCAGAAGCTCTTATTGGGCACCAGAATCATTTAAGCAGGAGCAACCTG